GAACTTAGAGCGCGACCAACACTACGAGATCAAAGTTATCGCTTACAACAGTCAGGGCGACGGACCCACCAGTAAACCCAAAATGGTTTACGTCGGCGAAGGTTTGTATTATTGTTTGGCATAAACTGTTCGATAGTTTATTAATTGCTATTTTTCTGTAATGTTCAGCCGTTCCGACGGGTGAGCCGTTGAATATAACGACAACAGCGCTGTCATCATCCGAGATGAGGGTCACGTGGAGCGCACCCGACAAAAACAAACAGAACGGACTGATCATGGGATATAAGATATTCTATTGGCAGCAAACAGAGCCCCACTATCGGCTCAACAGTGACCTGAACGGCAACACCCATAAGAGTGTTTACTACGAACAGCCCCGAGAGATGATGGAGATCGTGCCCGACACCACCGAATCCTTCATTCTCTTGGATCTCATTAAATGGTCTAATTATAGCATTCAGTTGTCGGCGTTTAATCCGGCCGGCGATGGCCCCCGATCTCGAGCTATTGTCGTCGAGACCAAAGAGGACACTCCCGGGCCGGTCGGCGCTCTCGTGTTCGATGAGATAACGATGTCTCAGGTGAAGGTCTCCTGGAAACCGCCGGTCGAACCCAACGGCATTCTGTTGGGCTATTATGTCATGTATGAGACACTGATTAACGACTTTAGCAAACAAGTGAAGCAAAAAATAAACGATAACTATTTGGTGGTCAATGGCTTAAGGGAACGGGTTATGTATACCTTCAAAGTTAGGGCCGAGACATCCGCCGGTGTGGGACCCGAGACTATTGGAAACGGTTTGTATTTTTCTAACACTAGAAAAGTTATTTATAAACTATTTGTTATATGAATATTTTGTTGATTGTAGTGACGACTGGCCCACAGCCCGGTTCGCCCCCTCCACCCACTGATGTCATATCGACTCAAACGCTGACTTCAGTGAAGCTCAAGTGGAAGAATCCGGACTATAGGGCTATCACTGGTTATCTGATCGAAGCTAATAATCTGAACATAAAGGGAGCGCTCGAATGGCAACCCGTCTCACAGATTAAGAATGGAAGACAAGAGAGATATGAATTAAGTTACACTCATTTGGCGCCGTCTTCTCAGTACACCTTCCGAGTGA